AAGAAAATTATATGAAACGAAGAATTTTTCCAAATTTGTTTTTGTTTGAGGAAGAAAACTCATTTGATATGAAATGATTGTTTGAAAAATCGAATCGAGAAAAATCTGTTTGATCAACAAAATTTATGTCAAAATCGAAAAATATAACTCGAGAACATTTTCTCTAAAGAAGAAATGTTTGACTGATGTTTTCCATAATTTATTTTTCAAATAAATTCTTTATAAATAAAACTTTTTTCAAATATAAAAATTTGCAAAGATATTTATTATTGAAGAAATCTCTTTCACATTCGTACATATTGACCTCATTTACTCTCTCAACTTTGATTCTTCCTTTTTCTTTTTCTTTTTCTCCGATGTTTATCAAGAAGAATAACTAGATAAGCTTATCTTTCTCTAGTAAAATAGAGAATCAATCTCAATATTGGATATTACATGATGAGAGTATAGTCCTGTGGGATGCGAGTGTGGGTGTTCATATTTTCTTTTTGAGACCCACATCTACACTCCGAGACTTTTGAACAATAGCTAGATTAAATATTGAAAGTGCCAATCAAGAAAAATATCTGAATATATAAATAAACAAATGATATGAAAATATTTTTTAGAAAAATGTACGAAGCTCAACTGTTAACGAAATCTAAATGTGAATATATTTTCGTTTGAAGATGAAATTATTAGTATTCAAAAATTCACTTGAATTTAAAACTTCAACTGAACTATGAAAACGAAAAAAAAAAAGATTTCTAGTTAGTATATATTTTCGATTTCAGTAATATTGATTTTTTTTAGATGGACATCATCTTAACGATTATCATAATAATGTTCGTTAACTTTTTATTGGTAGCTTCGATTTTTTATACTCAAATATTCTTTAATAAATTTTTTTTAAATAACAAACTTCTAAGTCTTTATTATTGTTTTAACATGCTTTAGATTCAAGCATTGAATTCTGTTCATGATAATAGCTTAGTTTTCTCTAACGATATTTTTATCATTTCGATTATTTTTCAATTTATAATTTTCTTAACAGAGAAGAAAGCATAAATGTTGTGTCTTTATAATGATGATAGGATCACTAAACTTGGAAAATCGTTTTATAAATGCCTAATAACTTATCAAGAAATATGCAAATATTATTATAATACATCAATATTTTTATGATATGTACATAAGTGCACATCTGTTAACAGGTAAATAAATGATACTAAGTAATCTATAATTTTTAGTCTTATTATAAGTCACTTCTAATGTTAAATATAGGGTGAGTCATAAGTAACCTAACAGAGTATTTTTTTCGATTTCTTTCTCATACATAAATAGTTAGGCCTTATATTTACACCAGAGATACATTTTTGATTACTTAATTTACTATGAAAGTTTCAGCCCCATAGAATGAGAACTTGTTAAAAAAAGTACAAATATGTCTTATGTCCTGAAGCAGCGGTGAAGCAAAATTTGCTGTTTTCCTGCTAAATTTTCTTTTTTTTTGTTCTGTTCTCAATAATATCAATTTTTGCCGCTTAAATTAGGTATTTCCAGTTTTATTCTTATGATTCAAAGCTTTTTAGACAGAATTATTCGCATGACGTCTAGAAAAAAACCTATAGAAGGAAATTCATTCATCAAAAGGTGCTGTTATTAAGAAGAGAAAAAAAGAAAATTTTGCAGGAAAACAGCAAATTTTGCTTCACCGCTGCTTCAGGACATAAGACATATTTGTACTTTTCTTAACAAATTCTCATATTCTATAGGGCTAAAACTTTCACAATAAATTAAGTAATCAAAGATGTATAGTCTGGTATAAACATGAACCCTAACTGATGATGTATAGGAAAGAAATCGAAAAAAATACTCTGTTAGGTTACTTATGACTCACCCTATATTTAAAATTAATAAATTATATTGTACAATAAAAAATCTTCAATATAATTTCATCTGATTGGTTCACCTACGTATTTCTTTTTATAAAAACATCTTTTGTTAAAATAATTGATCATTAATGATTGGTTCTCATTTAGACAATGTCCATCAAACATAACTCTTCACATATTCATATATATGTGTACTTCTATTCTAATCTTAGTCGAACACATTATATCAACAATGAAGTGTTTATCAAGTATGAGTATGTAACTATTTCAAAATATGATTTATTTGTTTATTGTTTTGTATAGAAGATAATGTTCAATTACTCGATTTACCTGATGAATTAATTTTAATTATAATGAATAAAATCAAACCTCGCGTTTTATTGCTTACTTCTATTATTAGTATTGGTAATAATCGTTTGAAACAACTTGCAATTGATAAATGTCATTCAATTGATTTAACTTTTGATTATGCTGAATCACCATATGAAACACTTATTCAACGATTTTATTCAGATATTATGCCTGATATTATCGATAATATTCAATCATTGACAATCAACATTCGACATATTCCTGATATAATCACATTTGCTAAAAAAAATTCTAATGGAACTCTTCCAAATTTGACACATTTGAAAATAATGATTGGTAGACAGCATCGTCAAACAGGCACTCCTTATACATTAGATAGATCAGGTAAATTATTATTAAGTATAGTTTCTTAAACTGTGTCTAAATACTACATTAATTTATTTTTCTGCTTATAACATAAAGAAAATTCTATGATTTGAGAATTTGAAAATGTTTTCTTGTCGTTATTTTATGGAAAACAAATCCGTACACTACTGTTATATATAGAATATATAGACAGTTCTAAGTAAAAGGAGTAAAAATTTATCAAATCGTTTAACTTCTGCTTGAATAGACTAAAACGTTTCTCACAAAAATTATAGTTGAGAAAAATATGGAAAAGTTCTTTTTGTCAATTGAATATTAGCAGAAAGCAAAGACTAGATTGAAAAATATTATGATTGTAACACGTATATATATATAATTTTTTATCAGGCATGGTCGTTTACTCTGTTTTTCATTGTCAACCTCTCTGCTCAATAATACCTGAATTTGTTCAATCATATGATTGCTTCGGTGGTATGCAAGTCTTATCTGACCTTCGTTGTTCATCACTTATGCGTTCTATTGTATCGTTCGAACTTGAAGATGACTATATATTACCATACTTATTTAATTCTGATGGAGTGTTTTTCCCACAATCAATTCAACTGACTCATATCCGAATAACATTACGTGAATTTGACCTTTGTGTTTATTTACTAAGTCAATTGGGTTCACAACTCTGTTCATTGACTATTAGCATTTTTTGTGTTTATGTACACAAAGTTGATATCTCTCAAATAGTATCTGTAAGTAATATTTCTTAATTTGAAGTTTCATTTAATTTAGCTTTTTAGATTTCATGTCCGCATTTAAAACAATTGACAATGAAAGTCTATCGAAATATTCATAACTATAAAGAATGTATTGTTCCTCTTCTACAACGTTTGTCAAATATTGAATATTTAACATTATTATTAGCTATTAATGGAAGAAGAAGTAGACTTGATCATTTTGTTGATGGATTTGATTTGGAGAAAGATATTGTTTCATACATGCCTCATTTACATCAATTTAATTTTCACATTCGTTCAATATTTCAAAACGCTATTCATGTAGAAATTGATACAATACATCAAAGTTTTCTGAAATATCAACAAGAATCTGTTGGTTGTACAGTTGACTATTTCAATAATAATTATGGACAATGTCAAATCTATTCGCTTCCATTTATTGGCAATCGTCTTGATTTTATTTCAAATCGATTTCCACTCTTCGATATTAATAATACATTCTCAATGGTTACTATGTTATTACTTTTTGATGATGTCAAACCGTTCAAAAATCTTTTCTTTGCACGTATCGCTCGAGATCTACCTTATCTTAAAACACTCGAAATGTTCAATGAACTTGAACAACAAGAGAAAACAACATTGACAACAAATAATCTTGAGTTTACTCATTTATCTACACTAATTCTATTTTACATTCATATGGATTATGCTGAACAATTTCTTTATCGAAGTTATCTTCCTCATCTAATTGAATTGGCTATTCACAAGGATATATTGTTAACAATAATTAGTCAAGATCAACAACAAGCAAGAGATAATTGTTCTAATGTGGAAAATTTAGTAATTTCCGAGACACTCGATGATTCAATAGATACTGTTCGAAACTTTTTTCCACTAGCTTTTCATTGAAAATATTCGAAAGAAAAAAATAAACTAAATGATTTGTATAAAATGTGGCAACTATACTTTTCTTGATAAAGTTTTAGTATTCAAAAGTCAATGGAAGAGAACTGTTGGAAAGACATATATTAATTTATATATAACAGCAAAAAAAAAAATTAGTTGTTTTTTTTTCCCGAATAAGTAGGTGAAGAAAACATTAAACTTATTGTTTATTTTATTGTTAATATAAGAATAGTTTTAGTAATGCAAGATAAGAATCAATTGCTTATTATCAACAATCGAAAGGTTCAGAAGGGAAAAATCTCTGATGGTCTATGGACATAATCATAAAATGTCTATTGGTCTTTGAATGCATTGAAGAACATTCTATCTTGTGAATCTCAATGATTTATATTTTATTCTAATATATCAAAGATTTGGATATTTTAGCTTTTGTAATGTATTAGATGTGAGAAGATTAGCTAGAATTTATTTCAATTATAAATCTCAAAAAATATAACGTATCTTCGAATTCATGTTTTGTTAAACTTATGGGCGAAATATCAATTTATATTTCTAGGATAAAAATCTCGCTGAATTACCCATGCAAACTATTTTTGTAGGACTGAATTGGTGTAATATTTGATAAATATCATAATAGAAGAAGATTCTTATTTTCTAAATGTTCTTTTTTTGTAAATTTTCATAGAGAAAAAAACAGTCTACACATCGAATGAGTTCATTTATAACGATTCTTAAACGAGTATTGATGATGTATTAGGTCAATAACTACTTTTTACGCATTCCAAAAGTGCCCAAGATCTTACTTATTACTCAACTAATTTTGAAAAAGAAAATCTCATATTCCTAATTAGCACATTCTACTTTATCGACTTATAAAGAGTAAAAATGGAACAAATATAAAAATGTTTTCGATCAAGCATGAAATGGGCGTATACCGAACCAGTTAAGATAAATGAATTTTTTCGCATGGTTATTGAAGATAATTTCTCTAAATGCACGAATGATTGATTGTTCAATATCTTTAATTAATTAATTTACAAATATGAGAAAATGGCTCGCCTCCTTTTCATGCAACGATAATCAATAGGGTGAGTATGACGACGGAGTCTGTCTCTAGTTAAAGAGACAATTCACACCTGCATTCTTATTTCTCTATATTAATTTATTGTAAATGCATATTTTTTAGTTGTATATTTTCACAATTGTTCTAATTGTATTATTTCCAATAGTCATAATTCATATTACTTTTACAAATGACGATTGGTCAATTAGAATTCATTTGTTTTTCGTGTAAAAATCTTTGTAGAATATACTGAATTTTAAAAAACTAGCATATTTTGGTTCTGTAAAGAAATCTAACGATTATGAGTATGTTCCATATCGACCAAAATAGAGATTAACAGGAAAATAATTATCAATATTATTGTACTTTTGTTTCTCTAGTATAAATGAATTTCAATAAAAAGAAATAATGTAAATTGATCTCATCGAATATCATTCGTAATTTTTCTCTTATTGAAAAGGTTTTCGTATATAATTTTCATCAACTCGAATGAAAAAGAAATTTATTCAAATGATTGATTCTCTCTTTGAACTTTTAGGGGTGTGGGTGTGGGTGTGGATCTTCTCTTCAATAGAACCTACGCCCACACCCCTACCCACACCCTTTTTGTTAAAGTTTTGGGAAGACACATTACCTCTTTGACCATACAAAGTTGTGATGCCAATTAGCTGTAGAAAAGGACCAAATCACATTTTAACTTGGCCACCGATTTTTGAATACCAATTTTATACTAAACTGACTTGTCTGTCAACTCCCGCTAGAAGATGCAAACAAAAATAGAAAAACCTGCCATTTATTATCAGACACCACTTCTTTCCAAAAAAGAAATGCATTGATTCCCGTTCCTCTTCTGCAAATATCAATTTCATCAAGCTTCACATTATATATTAATAGTCTGCTACCAATACGACTCAGTCACCCACCTTCATCTCACCCATACACACCCACACCACCCTCGATGTATGTGCACAAAGGATACTTGAATAGTTGCTTTTATTTGCATAGAAAAAGAATCAATAAGAAAATGGAGAATGGCGCAGTTGGTTGACTATTAGCAGTGGGTTTTTTCCACTTCCAAAATAAATAACGC